CATGTGACAGTGGAGGTGTTGAATGAAGCTCCTTCCTACTAGTAGTAGCAAGTGCATCGCTACTAGTAACAAGTGCCTTACTCCTAGTAACAAGTGCATTACTACTAGGAGCAAATAGCTACTAGTAGCGATGCCCTTGTTACTAGTAGCTTCTTGCTACTAGGGCAGTCTGGTTGGTTCTTTTTTGTATTCTTGCTCCCAAAAAGGAACATCCCAAAACAACCATCGACCCGGGGTTGATCCTGGGGAGGCACTCCAGACAACTCACCCACCAGACACATCCCGATTTTTTCCGCGTCGCGCGCCACAAAGCGCGTGGCGCACCACCAAGGAAGGAGTCGTTAGCCTCACGCGTGGCGCTGAAGAGCTCCAAACCTCCTGAGGGTTCCGTGACCCCGGAGCCCGAAAAGGAGGAGGAGGCGCCATGGCAGTCACTTCGTGGTTTTGCGCGACGTGTTGGGTAGGGTACCTTACAGAGAGGATTCAGATTGTGTGGGTGTGGATGGGAGACAACAGGTCATTTTCGGGAAAAGCTCCAAAGGAAGTGGTCGGAGAACCGAAGGTTTTCCGTATCAAACGCTTGCTTTCGCTTGGCCTGGCCCTCTTTGCTGCGCAGGAGGTCATGGTTGACGATCTCTGAGAACGCTTGGCATGTCCCGGACAAAGGCCTGACCATTGACAAAGCCCAGCATTTTGGTGGCTAGAAAAGACCAAAAGGTGATTTGGCTAAACTATGCTAAACTCGATTGAACCAATTGTCTTCTCCCACACCCTGGATCCTTCGGATGCTTCGGATGAAGCAGTGATTCTTCTGCCCACACACACAGCCTACTAGGAGCAAGGACGCTACTAGGGGCTCCTGGCATCGCTACTAGGAACAAGTGCATCGCTTCTAGTAACAAGTGCATCGCTTGTAGTAACAAGTGCCACGCTACTAGGAGGAGTTCTTTAGACCTCAGAATTCCAGTCTTGGAAGCGACGCTCGATTGGAGCATCTTTGTTCGGGGCAGGCAACTGGTTGACCTGTACATATGCCACGGACCAGTCGGAAGCGACCGGGGAAAAGAGCACTGACTGCTCACAGTCACCAGCAGCCACTAGTATTACGTACCATTTCCTTGGCTCTGGTATGTTTATGTATGACTGGTGTGACCGTTAGCCAGTCGTTGCACCGCATGACAACGGGCTGAAGGGTCATCAATTGATATCCAAACCACTGTGATCATACGCCCTTGCAGGACGAGTTTGTTCCATCTTGGTGGAGTTTGCGCAGCCACGTATTTGTGTCTTCCATCTGTGTATGGAGATGCTCTTCTTGCACTGAATTCTGGATGGTTTGGTGAACACCACATACCGCCATACCGCCCTTCTTTAACATGATCACCATCACCCAACATGTAGGACCAAGTACGGATTCGATCGGAACCAAATAGCTCCCAGAAGAGAGTCGAAATTCACTGTCAAGCTGCTTGAGTCAAACGGAACATCAACCTGACGGGTGTTTCAGCCGCGTCGCCCAGACCAAGCCCTTGGACCCAGATCTACATAAGTCGAGGATTCCCAAAGAAAAAAACACGTCCTGGTAAATGTCGGAAGCATTTCCTTTGGCTTGTTCCAGCAAGAAGGACCTGGGATTGCTGAGACAGTAACACGCCGATTTCGCAAAAGCCCCGACCTGAATTGACCTCCAGGTTGCGGTGGTCCAAGCAGAAAAGGAGTGGGGCGGCGGAGATTCGCCCGTGCCCCCAGGTGCAAGGCAGCGTCAAGCGATTTCTTCTTTGGGGCAAGCGGCAGGAGCCTCCACTTTTGGAGATTGGGGTGAGAGTTTTCGGGGAGCATCAACATGTTGGTCTGTTTGTCAAAGAAGCATGATGGTGATGGCATGTTCATCGATGTTCATCGTTTCTGATGACCACGACATGATCGACATGGGGTTTCTCTCCTGCGAAGACAGAAAAACGACCAACCGCGGTGCTTCAAAAGAAACCCTTCGTGGGTCACCCCAGCAAGTCATGAAGCTAGTCACCTGGGCGCTTGAAAACAGTCCTGATCTTTTTGGCAGCGATGTTCAAGGAGCTGGACTTCATGGCATGCCCAGGGATGGAACATCCCTTGATCTTTGTTTTACGTATGGGTGAATCGTGGGTGAATCCCAGCAGATCCAAATCCAGATTGACATGCACCTTTGGGTGCAAATTGGGAGATGTTGGGACGACGCTGCGTAAGAAGGTCAAGCTGGGTAAGAAGTTTCGTTTTGGGATGTGAACAGTGCGCTGCAGGGGGTGCTGGATGACTGAGCTACATCATGGCCTTTGAACTCACTTCAAGCATTAAAGTGGACAACCTTCGGTTGGTAGAAGCCAGTCTTCCAAGCACCCTGTGCCCCCTCTATGTTGGTTTTCTTCCGGACCACATTGGCTAGCTGGAAAAAAGTGGAACGCCCTGTCCTGTCCCCAAAGTCCTGTCCATGTTCGCCCATGCAAAGGGCATCGCTACTAGGAGCAAGGACGCTACTAGTAACAAGTGCATCGCGTCTAGTAACAAGTGCCTTACTAGTAGTAACAAGAACGCTACTAGGGGCTCCTGGCCTTACTACTAGGAGCAAAGGGCATCGCTACTAGGAACCCGGGCATCGCTACTAGGGGCTCCTGGCAGCAGACAACACCACGCATGCCCGAAAAACACACCCTGCGCGTGCTCGGTGTGACATCGAGGTCCTCTGACTCATCGTCCTCCGAGTTGGCAGGTGTTGAAGGGAGTGGCAGGTGTTGAGGGTTTTCCAGCAGAAATGTAGAGCAACATTTCAAACGTATGAATTCACCATTTGTGCAGTCTGGTGGTAGATCTTCAAGAATACAAGCACTTGCTTAGTAGGTAGCCACATTCCCTTCTGACCTTTGCCAGCCTTCGGTCTCGGACATAGACAGCAAGTCACGCCCAGCTCAGGGGGGATCCTCCCGTCAGGTGTACGCCCCGCCGGTCTCGGTCCCAAAGCCCGAACCGATCGGAGCAGCGGTGACGCTTCACCCCTCGGGAATAGCGCACGAGCACCTCGTGCACGAAGACCTGGAACCAAGTAGTAACAAGTGCCACGCTAGTAGGAACAAGTGCCTTACTAGTGGTAACAAAAAGCTATTAGTAACAAGTGCCACGCTACTAGTAACAGGTGCCTTACTAGTAGTAACAAGAAGCTATTAGAAACAAGTGCCACGCTAGTAGGAACAAGTGCCTTACTAGTGGTAACAAAAAGCTATTAGTAACAAGTGCCACGCTACTAGTAACAGGTGCCTTACTAGTAGTAACAAGAAGCTATTTGAATTAAAATAGAGTTACATTGAGGTGATTGGAAGTGTTTTGCGCCACGCCTGCGCCGGCCTCTTTGGTTGCTTGCAGCTTGTGGCGCGAACGTCGCCAGGGGGGTCAATTGGCCGATAAGATGTCAACGGCCATTACCAGAGATCTCTCTTTGTACATGGAAAACCTCTACAACACCAAAACGTCGTCGCCTCAGCTTCAAAATCGTCCATCTCTCAGAACCCTCCGCCACTGAATTTAGCCTCCACGAAACGCACGAACTCCACGTCTTTCGGCACGTCGCGTGCTCCACACGTCTCCCCCCCGACACATCGCCACGTCGAACGCGACGGGACGCCCGCCATGCCGTGGGGAAGCGGTGGTGGCAGCAACAGGCGGCCGTGGGGCGGCCGTGGGGCGGCCGTGGCAGCAACAGGGTGGCATCGTCTTTCCTTTTCAGTTCTTCTCATGGTTTCAACATGTTTCAACCATGTTCAACCATGATTTGTAATGGCTTAGCAAAGCATTTTTGGTTGATATTTTTGCTGACAAACTTCTGCAACATCCTATGTGATGCAGGCAGAGCCATTCACGTGCCGGAAGCCTCCCAGAGGGACGGCCACAAGCTCCGTTGTCCGATAGGCCATTTCAGACCTACATGGAACAAGGGCTGAAGGGCTTCTAAAGGCTGTATCGAATTGTCCATCGCCTCTCAGGACTACCCAGGACGTGCCAAAGAGAACGTTCGGCAGTTTCACCCTGAACAGATGGCTGAAGTACCCAAACTCAAAGCAACAGAACTGGTGCTGATGACTTGTCCTTGTCACCCTGAACACGAGATGCACAATCCTCGCCACAGGGGCAAGCTTGGCGGCAATCCTGGCAGCATCAATAGGACTGCTGGCGTGGTTTGCGTGCGTTTCTGAATCTGGTGATGCAATGAGAAGCAATTGGAAGAATTCTCTCTTCAGCAGCTGGATCTTTGATCAAGCTATCCTAGGAATGAAAGAAGCCTTGACTTTGCAACAGGATGGAAGAAAGACTCGTACGTTGTCTTCTTGTCATCACTCCGAAAAAGCTCCGCCAATCTCTGAACCCCACCAGGAATGCGGGGGACTTGCCCCCAGACACGTCAGAGGCCGCGTCAGCTGAAACTGGAAGCACGTAGCAAAGACCTTCAGTCAAAGACCCAGCCACCATGTTTGTGGCTGTGCCATGTTCGAAACTGGGGCAGGGGGTACAACGTAACAAGCCCCAAACCATCACCTGTGATGACTTCCTGATGTTTCACCTTCAGTTCTGTTTGAAGCAAAGCCCGGAACAAAAAACAGACCCTGCCTGAGGTCCCATATCCTGACCGCTCAGGGCCACAAGCCGGCCTCCTTGAATCTGACGGCGGTACTCATGGGGCGTGGTGCCCGCATTGCCTCCTCACAAGGTTCGCGCGGGTTCGGTTTGGTTCGGTGTCCTTACGTTGGACGCCACGAACGCCACGAGTTGCATCGAGCGACTTCTTCAGCGAAAGGCAGCAAGTAGGCAGTAGACATCGCGTGTTCAATAGCCTAGGCAAGTGCAAACTGGACAATAAGTAACTTTTTCATAATAAGCTACTAGTAACAAGTGCCTTACTAGTAGTAACAAGAAGCTAGTAGAAACAAGAATTAAATAGGTAAAGATGGGAAGTGTTGATGGGAAGAAGGGGCCAATCTTTTCGAGACCTGCCCTGCACGAGCCACGTGGTGCTTCGCTACCTTCCCAGTCGCAAGCTTTGGAAGGTGAGAACTCCCTGTTCTAGGCTTTGAACTGATTAGTTTGGAAGAGTGGATTCTGAAAGCTCCAAAAACAATATAGATTGACTCGTGGTACCTTTATGCACCCCTCCCTCCCTCCCTCAGCTCATTCATTCATTCGTTCATTCGTTCGTTCGTTCATTCGTTCATTCGTTCATTCATTCATCCTATCCTAGCACTGGAAGAATTGAAAAGAAAACATAGAATTCCTAGTTTTCACTGGCTTCATCCTGGTTCTGCCAAAACCGGCAGGCATCAATGCCCACCGCCCGAGTCCGGCGGCTCCGGGCACCTCGCACGGGAGACCCAGAGTACTTTGCCAACTGCCACGTGCGGCACATGCGCATTGAAGCTCAAACAAGCTAAAACGCCAAGCTTTGTTTCTGTTGGGTCTGTTGTAGAGCAACATTTGCCTTGGGGCGGTTTATTTGCTCTGAAAAACTAGTTGGTCCTATTGGCTTCCTGAACTGACAAACAGAAACCACGCACGCAATTGGTTCGCAGTGCTGAAGTAGTTCTACATCCTTGAAGGTATTATATACGCAGCACTCCAGCAGTTTATGATAGTTTATGTTTTCTTGCATATTCTTTTTACATGTTTCTATTTTTTCACGCTGCTTGCATCATGATTCATTCCGTATTGTTTGCTGAGGAATTCACTAAGGAACACCGCCAGCTCAGTAGTTTTCTGTTTCTGTTAAATGTGGTCTAAAAATTTCCAAATTACATCTCTTCTCACTTTTTTTTGCAGGGCCAACTCAGTTTTCTAGCACAAGCTCGGTGCCACTCCAGCCGTAGCTATCTCATACTATTTCCGTGTGATGCCATTTCTGATTAACATTGAACGAGCTATCTGAGCAAAATTCCGGAAGTTAATCCACACAAGAAGCTTGGCCAATTGTTTGCACCAACAATCGGAGACCCTTTTTTCATCTGTTTTTTCTCTCAGCTATGCTTCTCTGGAGCTCCAAACGTACGCCTGGGCGGCGCGGCTCAGCTATGCTTCGCTCAGGGGCTCCAGCCTCTCCCCGGAGTTTAAGTTGCCGGAGTGGATCAAGCCAGACGCCCACATCTGCGGGGCAGCCCACGTCGGGGGGGGGAGGGCATCTGCGGCGACGATTCGCGGGAGCTGAAGAGTTCGACGCTTTGCGCTTTGCGTTTTTGAGACTTGTTACTAGTAGCGGTGCACTTGTTACTAATAACTTCTTGTTACTACTAGTAAGGCACCTGTTACTAGTAGCGTGGCACTTGTTACTAATAGCTTCTTGTTACTACTAGTAAGGCACCTGTTACTAGTAGCGTGGCACTTGTTACTAATAGCTTCTTGTTACTACTAGTAAGGCACCTGTTACTAGTAGCGTGGCACT